CTCTATCTATCTATCTATGTATCTATCTATCTATCATCTGACTCTATCTATCTATCTATGTATCTATCTATCTATCATCTGACTCTATCTATCTATCTATGTATCTATCTATCTATCATCTGACTCTATCTATCTATCTATGTATCTATCTATCTATCATCTGACTCTATCTATCTATCTATGTATCTATCTATCTATCATCTGACTCTATCTATCTATCTATGTATCTATCTATCTATCATCTGACTCTATCTATCTATCTATGTATCTATCTATCTATCATCTGACTCTATCTATCTATCTATGTATCTATCTATCTATCATCTGACTCTATCTATCTATCTATGTATCTATCTATCTATCATCTGACTCTATCTATCTATCTATGTATCTATCTATCTATCATCTGACTCTATCTATCTATCTATGTATCTATCTATCTATCATCTGACTCTATCTATCTATCTATGTATCTATCTATCTATCATCTGACTCTATCTATCTATCTATGTATCTATCTATCTATCATCTGACTCTATCTATCTATCTATGTATCTATCTATCTATCATCTGACTCTATCTATCTATCTATGTATCTATCTATCTATCATCTGACTCTATCTATCTATCTATGTATCTATCTATCTATCATCTGACTCTATCTATCTATCTATGTATCTATCTATCTATCATCTGACTCTATCTATCTATCTATGTATCTATCTATCTATCATCTGACTCTATCTATCTATCTATGTATCTATCTATCTATCATCTGACTCTATCTATCTATCTATGTATCTATCTATCTATCATCTGACTCTATCTATCTATCTATGTATCTATCTATCTATCATCTGACTCTATCTATCTATCTATGTATCTATCTATCTATCATCTGACTCTATCTATCTATCTATGTATCTATCTATCTATCATCTGACTCTATCTATCTATCTATGTATCTATCTATCTATCATCTGACTCTATCTATCTATCTATGTATCTATCTATCTATCATCTGACTCTATCTATCTATCTATGTATCTATCTATCTATCATCTGACTCTATCTATCTATCTATGTATCTATCTATCTATCATCTGACTCTATCTATCTATCTATGTATCTATCTATCTATCATCTGACTCTATCTATCTATCTATGTATCTATCTATCTATCATCTGACTCTATCTATCTATCTATGTATCTATCTATCTATCATCTGACTCTATCTATCTATCTATGTATCTATCTATCTATCATCTGACTCTATCTATCTATCTATGTATCTATCTATCTATCATCTGACTCTATCTATCTATCTATGTATCTATCTATCTATCATCTGACTCTATCTATCTATCTATGTATCTATCTATCTATCATCTGACTCTATCTATCTATCTATGTATCTATCTATCTATCATCTGACTCTATCTATCTATCTATGTATCTATCTATCTATCATCTGACTCTATCTATCTATCTATGTATCTATCTATCTATCATCTGACTCTATCTATCTATCTATGTATCTATCTATCTATCATCTGACTCTATCTATCTATCTATGTATCTATCTATCTATCATCTGACTCTATCTATCTATCTATGTATCTATCTATCTATCATCTGACTCTATCTATCTATCTATGTATCTATCTATCTATCATCTGACTCTATCTATCTATCTATGTATCTATCTATCTATCATCTGACTCTATCTATCTATCTATGTATCTATCTATCTATCATCTGACTCTATCTATCTATCTATGTATCTATCTATCTATCATCTGACTCTATCTATCTATCTATGTATCTATCTATCTATCATCTGACTCTATCTATCTATCTATGTATCTATCTATCTATCATCTGACTCTATCTATCTATCTATGTATCTATCTATCTATCATCTGACTCTATCTATCTATCTATGTATCTATCTATCTATCATCTGACTCTATCTATCTATCTATGTATCTATCTATCTATCATCTGACTCTATCTATCTATCTATGTATCTATCTATCTATCATCTGACTCTATCTATCTATCTATGTATCTATCTATCTATCATCTGACTCTATCTATCTATCTATGTATCTATCTATCTATCATCTGACTCTATCTATCTATCTATGTATCTATCTATCTATCATCTGACTCTATCTATCTATCTATGTATCTATCTATCTATCATCTGACTCTATCTATCTATCTATGTATCTATCTATCTATCATCTGACTCTATCTATCTATCTATGTATCTATCTATCTATCATCTGACTCTATCTATCTATCTATGTATCTATCTATCTATCATCTGACTCTATCTATCTATCTATGTATCTATCTATCTATCATCTGACTCTATCTATCTATCTATGTATCTATCTATCTATCATCTGACTCTATCTATCTATCTATGTATCTATCTATCTATCATCTGACTCTATCTATCTATCTATGTATCTATCTATCTATCATCTGACTCTATCTATCTATCTATGTATCTATCTATCTATCATCTGACTCTATCTATCTATCTATGTATCTATCTATCTATCATCTGACTCTATCTATCTATCTATGTATCTATCTATCTATCATCTGACTCTATCTATCTATCTATGTATCTATCTATCTATCATCTGACTCTATCTATCTATCTATGTATCTATCTATCTATCATCTGACTCTATCTATCTATCTATCTGTCTATCTATCTATCTATCATCTATCTATTTATCTATCTATCTATCTGTCTAATAGAAAGAATAGACTCTTTATTGACAAACAAATCTGGGCTTGTGAAGTGTGTGTAGGTCTATACATCTATTGTTTTAATTGCTGAAAAATAATTTTATTGCAAGATAATATTGCTCTTATGAGGAGAGCATTAATACTCAGACATGAAAAATGTAAATAAGTGTCTCTAAACCTACAGAAAATACTAACATAAATAGCAATAAAAGACTTATCATGAAGAGGCAACACACAGAATATGTAAATGTTGTCCCATAATCACATTTGTATTAAAACGCCACGCGAGGGCGCACTTTCCCGCGCATTATCATTATATTCCCTCCAGTTATGTTTCAACTAAAATATACATTAGTGAAATTCTTTAGATAATATTTTAGTGTGCTTACTGTGAGATGATCATAGTTTTATCATCTCTCATAATTTCATTAGTAGAAGGAGTTCTGTTCTTTAATTGTAATGGCAAAAAGCAATTCACTGTTAATTAAGTGACGCTGTTTTTGTATGAAAGGTTTTTCTTTTTACAGTAAATACCCCATGATGGTGTAAGACTAATTATCATGCCATGAATTATTGATAACTGATCAATAATACTTATATAAAGTTATATTAGCAAAAATGTATTACTTTCCTTTTTTTGTCTGTTTTTCATTATGACATAAATGTGTAAAATCAGTCATTTCTCAGATCACAAGTGAAATTCTACGTGTTCATCTAGGCACTAATGCACATCAGAGCAATATTTCATTCTTCTGAAGAAATTGCCAATGCTTTAGTACATTCATGCAATTCATTGTGTACAATTGTCTGCTGTTTCCAAAATGATCAATTGCTTACATCATAATCAAAACATATTATGGTTCTCTGCTGAATAGTCTTTACGCTCAAAACATCAAGGCATTAGTTCATTGCATAAGTCATAAAATGTAAAATAGCTGAACTAGTTGTTATAATTTGTCAAGCATTTTTTTCTATACCTCTCTCTCTCTCTCTTTATTTTTGTAAATGTGTCCTGAATTTAATTGAATGAATCTTGAATGTAACGTGTTAGATCAACCTGTTCTGTAAAAAAGGTCAGATATGCATTTCACAAAGCTATACATTTGACCAGCATATAGACAGAGCACAACACAGTGTACAAATTCTAACAAAAAAGAACAACAAAGAAACAAACAGCCAAGAAGAAGAAGAAGAGTGAAGATGTGAGAGAGGCAGAAGAGGCAAAGGATGAAATCAGGGCAGTTATTGTGGACCGTGTTCAATCATTCTAACGTCTGTAGACAGAACAGTTATGAATCAAAACTGATTGCTGTTGCACTGCTATAGCCTATTGTAATGATTCATAATACAGTAGTCCACTTGCATTTTACATTATACAGTAGGCTAAATAAAGGGAGAGAGAGTCTTGTGCAACTGAGAATCCTGTCCAGTCTCTTGCAATCAGTATCCCACATACAGTAATGTGTACATTTTTTATACTGTTGAAATCATAGAGAAAAAGTGCAGTCTTGGGCATTTTCAGTAATTGTCATGCAAACTGTAGCCACAGTGTACATACTGACAGAGTGTAGGCCTACTGTTATATTGACAGCATGGCTAAACGTTATGATTATTTTGTTCGTGAACAATGACACAAGGACTAATTCAGATGCACTGGTGCTCACTGACATACATACTTCTGAGAGATGATGAACTAAGGAATTTGAGAAAGGTCAGGCTTTTGCAGGTTATCCATTGAGTGGTGCTTCGAGAAATGCATTTATTGGTTTGCAAATGTTAAGGATGACTAGAGAAAAGCTGTGGCTTTCGCGTTACACACGTCTGAAGCTCAAACTCTTGAGGACTGGGGCGCTAGAGAAGAGAGAGAGGGAGGAGCAGAGTTACGCAGAGACTCCATCACATCACGCAACATGACACTGTGTGCTTGCTCCGAACAGCAGGCTATTTCTGCAGAGATCTGAGGAGTCTGCGCTCAGCCCGCTGTCTGCTGCTGTTAGGATGGTCTGTGGAGTTACTCAGTCTGACACTGACCAGTGATGAAGAGTTTATAGTCCTGAGCTGGAGTCACACCACATGCGGGTACGTGGAAGAACTGATCACTCTGCTAAAGTCACCGAATGAAAATAAAGAGTTTTTGCTTCAGAAAACAAGTCACTGAGTAAAAGTGCTTCTGTGCTTGTGTTCAGGGTCCTTCACATCACTTGGGTTTCAGCACAGGAGTGAAGGAGCGATGCTGGACCTCTGGCCTCTCGTGTTTGGGCACTGCTGGCTCTCCTGTCTTCTCTTGTGTCAGGTACGTCTGAAGGAAGTCCCGTGCTGATGTTTAGGATGGTCTATGCAGTGTTTAATAAAAAGAATGTTTAATTAAATCAGAGACGTCAGACCCCTTTTAGTGGGTAAAATACAGCTGTGCTCCAGTAAATTATTTGATAAATCCTTATCTGACAGTGATGACCACATAACGACCAGAGAATAATTTCCCTATTATTATTATTGTTATTATTATTATTATAAATTAGCTGTTTAGCGTCAGAATTAGTGGTACCAGATTGCGAATGAATCACACTTTTGATCTAATAGGCTAAATTGGTTTGTAAAAGAGTCTGAAATCGATTTAAGTTTGATTCATTGGACAGTTCGCTCCCACACTGATTCCAGTTTCTCACATTTGTAAATCAGAAAACACAAAAGCAAGTGCTGATTGAGGTGGATATTTATCTACGACCTATCATATGAAACAAAACTTTTAACTGTCAGTTATCAGCAATGAAGTACTGCAGGTAAAGACTAGGGGGG